GATCTCCATGACAACTAAGAAAACTCTATCTGTTAAGAATAGTAAGAGAGCCTTGAGTTAGGATTATCATTATTATTATTATTATTATTATTATTAATAATAATATTAATATTAATATTAATAATAAAGCAACCACTACAGACAAACTAGGACAGGACACATTGTTCAAATGCTCTCAATGACGCATGTGATTGGAGCTCAGCTGTAAAATAATGATTGCAATTTACATTTATTTTTTAATATTATATTTTAAATTAGGCCAGTAGTTTTTCTGTAATATTGCTGACAAACAAACCAACTGCCAAAACCATAACCTCCTGGACAGGATGAACAACATACTTTTTTGGGATCATTAGGGCCTAAAATGCCTGATTTACTAACAAACATCAAAAAGAAGAACAAATGCTATTTATCAAACATGTTTTATAACTTGCATATTTTCTTTTTGCTGTGCAGAACCTGCTGACAGACTTGGATAGATCCATAGGCCGCTACAGAGATGAAGTTAATCTGAAGACTGCCATAATGTCCTTCATCAATGCTGCGCTCAGCCAGGGAGCAGGAGAGGTGAAGAACTATCTATCTGTGTCTCTCTTGAAGGACAAGACCATATTATGCCTATTTTCAGGTTCATATTGTATTGTATTAAAGTTTGCTTCAACATTTTGAACATTAAAGCTTTAAAGTGCTTTAATTTTCAAAAAACAATTCATATTGTATTGCATGTAAATATTGTATAAAATCCTTAAAAATTCAGTTTAGGTAACTACTTTTTTTACTCACCTCTCTCTGTTTGAGACAAAAATGGTCCACTTCCTCCCACTGTACAAAAATAAAGCCAAAATATCCCGGCTATGGCTGCTGCCATCTTTCACCAGCCAGAGCCTGCGCAGTAATAATCGGGTTTGGCACTGCGGTATCGAAGTCCCACCCGGCCGACTCAATTACAAGCAGGGCTTAAATAACTAATTAAAGCCAAACTAATCAGAAAAATTAACACTTGAACATACATCAACGTGATTAGAACTACCTAAAATGACAGAAACCATCTTTGGAAAAAATTTATTTGACGTGTACTTTGAGTTTTTTAGTTTGTCCCATCTGCTAACATAGAGGCAGTGGGCTGTATGACCTATACTGCAGTCAGCCACCAGGAGGAGATAGAGATGTTTCAAGGCTCACCCACTGCTTTTCTGCCTCAGCTCTGCAGTTTTTTTTAGCAATAAGTAAGCTAACATTAGCTTCTTGGTGCTAATCAGAAGCAAATTAATTCCTTCAGTTTGACTGTTTATGTAGCTATAGCATTACCTTCAAGACATGACCAGCAAGTGGACTGACATACAGCAGTAAAACACACACACACACACACAGCCGGAGAGGATAACAACAACAGCTAACGGTTACACAAAAAGCAACATGAAAAAACAGTTGCTGACATCCAAACTACTACTTCAGTTTTTAAGCTTCAAACCCAGCTTAACTTTACCACAGTTTCTCTTTACTGTCCCTCAGTCTTACAACATTAGTCCAACATTGCCCCCGACCTGCTAGCCACATTAACCCTGCGCAACATGCTAACACCAAGTTAAACACCTACTAACAACCTAAGCAGGGCAACTTCTCTCTTAAACTCTCTTTACCTGTCCTGGCTTTACATATTGTCTACCAAAGAGATCATTTCATTGTATGATTACACTGTATTGCATCTGTCTTTTCAGACCAGTCTGGAGTTCCGTATCCATTTGCGCTATGAGTTCCTAATGTTGGGCATTCAGCCAGTCATTGATAAACTACACTCCCATGACAACGCCACCTTGGACAGGTAGCATTTGGAAATATCAGTACTGTCATGGAACCAACAAATAAGTAGCAGGTCACTTTGATTTTAAACGGCTTTCTGAGTTCAGTTGTTATTGCTGTTTCCAGACATCTGGACTTCTTTGAGATGTTAAGGAACGAAGACGAGCTTCAGATGTCCAAACGCTTCGACGCTGTAAGTCATATAAAACACACCAGCTCGTCTACAGTGTAACATTTCTCCTTGATGTGGATTAAAATATGAAAATGCAAATCCGATGTGTAATGTGTCTGTTGGCTCATTGCCTCAGGTCCACATAGAAACTAAAAGTGCCAGCCAGATGTTTGAGCTGATCAAGAAGAAGCTGAGCCACACTGAAGCCTACCCTCACCTCCTGTCTGCACTGCAGCACTGCCTCATGATGCCATGTAAGACTGTCTCCTTGCCTTGAACTGCCATAAATTGATCCCTGATGGTAGCAGCGTTTCCTCCTGCTGACCCCTCTCTGTCTGTCTGCAGATAAGCAGAGCAGCACCACACGGCAGTACTGGGTGTTGTTGGACCGGATAATTCAGCAGCTGGTTCTGCAGACAGACAAAGGTGAAAACCCTGATGTGGCACCACTGGAGGACTTCAACGTTAAGAATATTGTACGAATGTAAGTCTCCAGGGTTGGACAATGAACCCAAACAGTGAACCCAATAACTGCAGGAGGTTTGAGCAGGTTTATTTCCTGTGAATATTGATCAGAGATGAGTTTTACTTTTTTAGGAACTTTTTACACATTTGTTCGTCTGTATTATATATATTTTTTAAATTTAACAATCATACATGCTTTGTTTTTTTTTTTTACAAATTAAGTCTTTTCTTCTCATTGTTCTATTAGCTATTTGGTTGTTTTAATGGCATGCAACACCATTTATGGTTTTGTTGTTGATATAGTAAAGTCAGTCAGACAGTTTTTGTACACAAGTTGTTACAAAAGAAGCACATGTAACATATTTGGGAGTGTAGCATGAAGACATGTTTCAGAAACTATACTGTAACCCCCAGAAGTGTTCATTTAATCTAAAATAAATTGTAATCAGATATGAGGAAAACTAAGTTTAAAATGTGCTAATCTAGATTTAAAATTAAGCAGCGCACTGTTGCACAATTAAAAATTAATCTCAGTTTAGTAAATCCAGGTTTATTGATGTTAACTGAAATTAAATAGAGTAAAGTCAATATGGAGATGCTTGCCTACCCAAATAAAATAAATGATTAACTAATCTGTATGCTGTCGGTATAGTATAAATTAGGGGGGGGGGGCGTTCACTTCCAGCTGCTCTGCATTCCTTAACAAAACATTGCATTGTTTGCTGGCTATAGCTTAAACTAACTAATAATGGCTCAGCAGAGGAGCTCTAATTTCTCGTCCTTTGAGAAAAACTGGCCGAATTAATGGAATAATATGGCCAAATAATAGAGCATAAACATAAAACATCACTTTTTGGAGTGTTTTCCTTAACTTTCTTTAAGGAACTTGATTATTTTACTCAATCCATCTCAAAAAGGAAACCATTTAAACTTAAAGTTAAACCTCAAGTTTAAAGTTAATACTGGATCACATTTTAAAGTGGAGTTGAAAGTTTTGCTGCAACAGAACAAAATCTTAGCTAGTTAAACCATGATTTAATTGGATTTTTTTTTTTAAATAAGTTAAGTAACCCAGGCTTGTCCTATGTGTGTTTGTGTGTGTAGTAGTAAACCTGATAAGTTAATTGAACACAAAAAACAGTTGAAACATCGATTACATCGACAAAAACACCAACTCAATTGTATAAGTTAAAAACATTATTGATTGAGCAGCTGTTACTAGAATTTTTAAGTGACACTGACTTAATTTTGTATCTTATTTTGAACTGTAAAAACCGTAAAAAGTACTTTATCAGGAGTCGATGTCACTTAAAATATATAGAAAAGTCTGCTTAATCAAAAATGTTTTAACTTACAAAACTTATTACAAGTTTTAATATATTTACTATTCAACTATATTATTACAAAGTTATTGCGTTAGAATGTAGTAGTAGTAGTAGTAGATGTGAAGCATGACTGGAAAATTTGTTGTGTGTTTGTTTTTACAGGCTCGTCAAGGAGGACGAGGTCAAACAATGGAAAGAACAAGCTGATAAAATGAGAAAAGGTAAACACACCAACAGCTGGACATTTTGGGTCACTTTGGATATATATGTTGCTCCCATAATCAATGCAGGTTAACATGTGCAAAGGAATGATCAAAAGCAATTACAAGAACACATTTATTTTTACTTTTAATGATTTGATAAGCTGGAAATAAATGCTTAGTAAATGCTAACGTCATTATAAATAATAACACGAACTAGACCAGCAAGTAAGTACACCAGGGTTCGAGCATGCAATGCAACTCAGAAGCAAAATCATGGTAAATAAGTGGAGATGCAGGCAGATATGCTGCCTGTTTGTCGTCTTTGGCTCCTTCACTCATCCTCTCTCCCAGCAGCTCCACCATCGAGAATTCAAACAGCCTCCCATGAATCACTCTAGCTGTCTCACCTTCCCTTCTCTCCAGAACATCAAAACTTACAGCAGCGCGTTGAAAAGAAAGAGAGGGAGTGTGAGGCCAAAAATAAGGAGAAGGAAGACATGATGGCGATGTTGAACAAGATGAAAGAGAAGCTGGAGCGGGAGAGCAACGAGCACAAGCAGGCCAAACAACAAGTGGCAGAGCTGTCCGCTCGGCTGCAGCAGCTCAACAACGTACGTTCACCGACACAGCAATACGGTTCTGCATCACAATGATCTGTCCGTTTGATAATGAATCCATCTTTGTTTTCTTCTTTTCTCTTGTCAGACCTCCACTGTTCCTGGAGGACCTCCTGTGACCTCTGGTGGTTTAGTTCCTTCTGGTCCTGTCCCAGCTATCCCTCCTCCCGCTCCCCCGCCTCCTCCTCCACCACCACCTCCTCCAGGAGGCCCACCCTCTTTTGGCATGGCCCCATTTGCCCCACCACCTCCTCCCCCGCCAGGGGCTCCAATGGGAACTGCCCAGAAGAAGAATATTCCTCAGCCATCAAACCCACTGAAGTCCTTCAACTGGAGCAAACTCCCTGAGGTAGACACTGCATTCACATGGATTCAGGCATCCGGTATGTCATGTTAGTGGATGAAAGCAGAGCGGTACAGTTGGGTGAGGCCGGAAGAGAATATCGGCAATGGTAACGGTAGGCAGCATTGCTGTCCAAGTGTGAACGTTTTTCCGTCCTCTGCGATGGTATTTAAAACCGGATGTTATGTAGCTCCCTCACACAAGGAGAAAACATGGACAATCTGGACAACAAGACACTAATAATTAATACATTACATAAATTCTGCCCAAATCCATGTGACTGCTGAGGAACTGCTGCTACAGCTGCAACTTTTATTATACTATTACACACAGATATACTACGTTTACTACTGCATGCTGATACTACTATAGCAGTCTCATCTATCTCATACTATAGCAGTCTCATCTAAAGCCTCTAGTTAAACAAACTAACACATTGTTAGGAGTAAGGAAAATATAGACTAACACCAGACTGATCCTTTAATGGGTGAATACCAGCCAGCAGCCATAATCTTCTTCTAAAAGCTGTGAGATGCGATGCAATATGTTAATTGGACCATGAATTAAAGGTCCAATGTGTAGCATTGGGATAATCCATATAAATGGAATATAATATGCGTTGGTATGTTTTCATTAGTGTAAAACCACCATGTTTCTACAGTAGCCCAGAACAGACAAGTCTTTTTCGCAAGTTTCGTGGCCACTGTAGTTTCTCCTACACACTTTACAGCCGCTCTTATTCCCATACAGAGTACAGATACAAGGTGTTCAGTTATCTGCAACTTCACCACCAAATGCCACTAAATCCTACACACTGGTCCTTTAAGTTGTTTAGTTGAGTGCATTATTGTCTGTTTCAGAACAAAATACAAGGAACCATATGGAAAGACATCGATGACCTCAAGGTGTTTAAAGTTCTGGACCTAGAAGAGTTCCAGAGGACCTTCTCAGCCTACCAGAAACCACAAGTAACATATTACACACTGCACTAAACAGAACACATTCAGCAACACTATCATTCTCTCTTTTGCTTTCTATTTTATGTTCATTAATTCTTTGGCATATCTATCCATCCATTCATAGATGGCCTTCAGTGTGTCACAGTTATTGACACTGCTCATGTTCAGTTGATTTAACTAATTAAGGTTTCAAGTCATTTTATTTTATTCAAACAGAATCCAAGTCCAAGAAATGCACCATGACAGAGGAGGACTCACTCAAAAGCCAAAAGCACTTTTGGTTGCTAACTTGCTAATGGTTTTTTCAGATGCTTTTTAGTCTATTAGTATTTTGTCACAAACCTAATAAATCTATTTTATAATTAAATGATTCTTTTGTTGTTGTAAAACAGTTATCTAGAGATAATCATATACATGACTTAAATGTCATGTTCCCAATCCTGGCATCACAGAGTTTTGTTATACTGTGCTGTATTTTCCTGCATATTAACAGAAGATTGCTGAGGACGACCAGACTTATGCCAAGAAAGTCAAGGAGCTGTCGGTTATTGATGGTCGGCGAGCACAGAACTGTAACATCCTGCTCTCACGGTGAGGGTTACGAATCAATGAATGAATGAGTTATGGTTATGTTGTTCATTTCCTTTTCATTTTAAACCCCTGTATGATATGACAAGATGCAATCTAAATTTATGTGTCACAGGCTGAAGCTGACCAACGAAGAGATCCGCCATGCCATCCTGACCATGGATGAACAGGAAGACTTACCTAAAGACATGCTGGAGCAGGTGCCAAGACATACACATACACAAAAACACACAACGACATGCTCACAGATGGGAGGGCGGTTCCTTAAGTAAAAGTCCTATTCATTTGACTAAATATGAAACTACATGTACCATGACAGATAGACTTTAGAAGCTTCATTCAATTTTAGATTTTGGGATAATACGGAATTAGCAATTATGATGCATGTTTATAATTGAAACATCCATATTTACTTTGTGCTCATGCATGTGATTAATAATTACTTTCAGAATTCAAATCAAATGCACTTGATATGTGATATGATATTTTGTGTGATATGTGTCTGTGTGTGAAGCTTCTGAAGTTTATTCCTGAGAAGAGTGACATTGAGCTGTTAGAAGAACACAAGCATGAGCTGGAACGTATGGCCAAAGCAGATCGCTTCCTGTATGACATGAGCAGGTATGCACCAAAAAAACAACCCATACACACAGCAACACTTCCGAACACACAGGCTGTATATATCATCCAACATGGCAGTTTATAATAGCAAGACCGGCTGCACACTTTTAACTCCTCAGTAAATCCTGTATGAAGGAAACGCACTAATCAATGCACTAACTTCTGTTGAGTTGGACACACACATCACAGCTGGGTATGGGGCGTAAAATGGGGATTTACATGAAGTGATATGAAATATTGCTCCATCTCTTCATGCCGGTACAGTTGCCAGTGACTGACTTATGCTGTGTAATTTCTGTCCTCACCCAGCATCAACCACTATCAACAGAGGCTCCAGAGTCTCTACTTCAAGAAGAAGTTTGCTGAGAGAGTGGCTGAGGTCAAACCTAAAATCAAAGGTACTCTTTTCTATTCCAACAGGGCTTTAGTTCACATTCAATCAATGGATGAAAGTACATTTTTGGAGGGGACTACAAATGTGCATGTCACTAATAAGGAAGAATGCAGTCTTTTAAGTACTGTTTTGTACGACATATTGTGAGATATTAAAAATTTGTGATTTGAGTGCTGTCTGTGAACATACTGTATATGGCATTCCCTCATTTTCTCTGTGGTTTCAGCTCTGAGTCTTGCGTCCAGGGAGGTGGTACAGAGCAGGACACTGCGTCAGCTCCTAGAGGTGGTCCTGGCCTTTGGGAACTACATGAACAAAGGACAACGAGGAAATGCCTACGGATTTAAAGTGTCCAGTCTCAACAAGATAGCTGACACCAAGTCAAGCATTAACAAGTACAGTTCATAACAAGACTTTCATACATCATAGGCCTTTTTCACAGAGGAGATTTTGACATGTGGCAGTGGGAAAAGCACAGGTGTGAATAAAACAGTGAATGATGTCTCAATGCAGTTTCAGGGTCCTGGTATTGTAAGGCAGCTGGCTTGTGTCCAACCACAGTTTGAGGAACTACTGGGTGCTATGGGCTAGGGCTGTGTTTTGGCAAGGATCTGGCAATATGATACGTATCACGATACAACGGTTATAATTCAATATATTGTGATATATTGTGATACTGTAAGCAGGGCGATATTTTGCAATGAGATCTGCATTTGTATTTATCACAGTCCATGTATGTCTTTAAGAATCGATACAATATCAAAGTAAAATATCACAATATGATATTTTTGTATATGTTCTTACACCTTGTGGCACAAATTCAAAAATGGCGCCTGCTAAAGAGGATTACGTAGATTCTGCTAGCATCAGTTCTATCAGAACCTGAGAGTATTTCTTCATTAAAAGAAGAGTAAAGAACAGCACTGAAGGCTTTTCTCCATAGAAAAGATTTTTCTGTCTTCTCCTGACTGGCTTCAGAGTTTTACTACGTTATATGGTTCATTGATCTGATTGGTTGAAATCCACCCGTGATTAACAATGATAGACAGATGGTTCATCTAATCACATGCCAAGTAATTTTTTAAAGTGCCTGCCCTTTTCCAAACAGTTTCAAATTATGGCTTCCCACATGGTTCTGTGTAACAAGTCATATGGCACATCAGGCACATGGCACATATGCTTTACCTACTGTATGACCAGTGAAAATGTCTGCTGTCAAAAAGGCCTAATTGCAAGTTTAGCTATTTCTTCTATACGCCACTGAGAAATGATAAATGATTGATAAATGTATGTGTTTTGTAGAAACGTCACCCTGCTCCACTACATGATCACTGTACTGGAAAAGAAGTACCCAAAAGTGGCAACCTTCAGCGAAGAACTACAAAATGTGCCAGAGGCTGCTAAAGTCAAGTAAGAACGAACAGACATACACACCTGGTGATAGTGGCGGTTAATTGACCAGTGTGTAAGATTTAGTGGCATCTAGCAGTGTGGTTGCAGATTGTAACTTACTCACTTCACCCTCCCCTGCCAAGCACAAAGGAGGAACTATGGTGGCCGCAAAACACATTAAAAATGTCAATGCCTAGTGTTTGGTTTGTCCATTATGGGCTACTGTAGAAACATGGCAACTTAAGGCATTTGTAGATAAAAACGGCTCACTCTAACAAAAAACTAAATGATTCTTATTTTCAG